CTTTTCTCCCTTTTTCTTTCACCCGCAGAGGTCTAGCTAGTGCGTATCTTTTAGGGATAACCATGCCATACGCCATGAATAGAGAAGCGTTGGACTTTAGTTCACCAAGGGCTAATGCGCTTCGATGCAGCGCTTAACGATAGCTTTCCCCGTTCGTTTTACCTTTTAAGATTCTCCCGCACGCCTATAGGCAAAAATGCGCCGCAACACATGTCATGGAGCTTCCACATTCCGGATGCAGTCCGCAGAACCAGTGCCGCTGCTTTGACATAGTCATATTGTCATACATTTCCTCCTAGTAATGTGGATGACAACGACAATTATATCTCTTCAGATGCATTGGGAAGGCGAACAGACGCTCCCAAATATGAAAAACGTTCCTACACTGCCTCCATAGCATGGCATAGCTTGTCTCTGGACGGTCGGAGAAGGCAAGGGGATTCATCATGCATTGTTTAGGCTCTAGAGACATCTTCAGCTGGATGGGATGCGAAATACTGTGCTAGTTGCGCTGCGACGAGGCGCCCCGCCATTGGTCATCTTCCTCCCCAAGGGCATGTCCTGGTAAATTTCTATTGTTAGAGAGGAAAAAGTGCCCGGCTTTTAACGAAGATTCTGAACGGGAAATCGAAAGCCCTTGTCTTTTTCCTTTCCTTTCGGGAAACGCATCTGATGAGTGCTATTGTAACGGGAGTTTTCGATCTTACACGAAGAGGATCATGGGCTGCAATAGAGTCAAAATAATTGAGATAAGAGTTTATAAAAGGCAGCTGATTTCCTATTTAGTCTCCAGGCGCTCTGGGTTGGTGTGCCCAGGGTGCCTGGGCATGGGGCTAATGAGAGAAGAGGCGAACTGACACGGGCAACAACGCACCGTGCTGGACCTCCTGTCACAAGGCAACCCCGAATGCAACCATAACCAGTTCACCTCTTCGGTATGTGCTAACACGATAGGCAAGGTGTTGAGTGCTTACTTGGTTCTGCGTAGCCTGCCTCTGCGTAAGTAAGAGATACACGTATCACCTTCACACATACCATGCTACAGCTATGCGCCAGGCCGTCCAGCTGTGGGCTTGTGGTTCACGCATCGCGCCGGCCCGAATGAACCATGTTGAACCATGTTTTGCTACCAACCGTAAAGAGAGTCCACTATCTTTGCCGAGCACCGTCGTGNGAACCATGTTGAACCATGTTTTGCTACCAACCGTAAAGAGAGTCCACTATCTTTGCCGAGCACCGTCGTGAGTTCCAATCGACTCAAAATCCTTAGAAAGCTTATCCCCAAATGCAATGTTATCCGCCACTATCCAGGCACCCTGGGCACACGACCCAAGGCCCTGATGCTGGTGCTGCCAGGAGGCATCCTGTCATGAGTTACAATGCGCCTCGTTGCAACCCTTGCTGCATTCCACATGCAAGAATACCCTAGCCATGCACGCACTAACATTGTAAGTAATTGTCCAACACTCAGTTCACCTCCAGTAGAGTGTCTTCATAGAAGTACAAATACACGTACCAAACCTCAGGCAGACGGTGCTACAACCATTACACGAAACATCCGGGCCGCCTTAATGGTATGCAATGCACGCTGAGTGAAGGAGCATTTCGAGGTGGGAAGGCACCGAGAATACAAAAGGCAAAATAATGGGCTAGGGTCTGCCGAAAATACTCAAATATCCCTGGAGGCGTTTGCTGCTAGTACGTTACGAACAAGCCCTGCGTGGTCATCCGCTGTCTGCACGCCTTTACCTGGAAAATGGGGACGGCAATCNCGTTACGAACAAGCCCTGCGTGGTCATCCGCTGTCTGCACGCCTTTACCTGGAAAATGGGGACGGCAATCCACCAACAGAGCAAATATATTAGCTAGAGCAACTTTATAAACCAGTAGACATAACCCTTTCCGTCGCTTTTGCACCAGCCACCAACACCGTTTCGACATTGATTTGACCCCACCACGTCAGAAATCCTACACATTCTCTCATTTCTCCTTTTAGGCTGTACCTTTCACAGAGGACAAATTTGCATTTTAACTGGAAAGCTAAAGAACAAGAATGCCAGAGGCTTCCTCCTTCATGTGGCGGTTCAGCCATCTGCCGCGCGTTTGAGCGATGTGTCTGTTCCGGGGATGGAGAGTCTGCATGTCTACATACTTGTGGTATAAAAATGCCGCTCACGGTGTATTTATTTGGACTTTAAATATTACGAGCTAAGTATGCCACATATATTTCATTCGCACGAACATGTGTATATATCTGCCGACTCCCACCACATGGGCCTAGCATCTCAAACAGGCTACGTGCTGGTTGGCTGTTTTGGTACAAACAAACTGCCAGACTTGAAGCAGCTGGCGTTTGTTCAAAGGGCTGTTTTGCTCTCGAACAAAACACCCTAGCAAAAAGCAGCGCAGCTCTCCCTGGCTTTCCGTCTGTCCGCCGGTAGGTTTCTCGCGCTGGAGCGTTGCCCCATATCTACGATGGATACACTTGATGTTCCAACCCAAAAAGAGTTTGATGAGATTGGTAAGAGCCCTCTGAGCAGAGTTAGACACAAGAGGCCCCTCTCGTGCATACTTCCTTCTGTCGCTTCATCGAGTTCTAGAACCAGTCCCAGTGCCCCACATCACCGAACCCATCAAGAGACTGAGGGCAAAACAAGCGTCTCCTCATCTGCAGCCAATGCATCAGCAGCAGCAGATGCGCCAACTGCAGCGGCGGCAGCAACAAATTCATCACGTTCGTCGCCAGCTCCTTGGGACTTGTCACTGAGTGAAGGCTTGGACTTTTGTAGAGATGGAGCTGCTCTTCTCCGGCAACTTTCTCAGCGCATCGATGCAACAGGTCAAGAGCTAGCTGCTGCTTCGGTTCTCCCTACCACTGGTGCCAGTAGCGGTCTCAAGGGAGATGGCACAAGCCATGCTCGCAGTACCTGTGACGAGGAGAGCGGGGGAGGCAAGCTAGTGGAGCACCAGCATTTACTCAAGGACGAAATAGATGAATGCCTAACTCAAATTCNGGGGGAGGCAAGCTAGTGGAGCACCAGCATTTACTCAA